ATGACACATATATAATTATTATTATTTTTTTTATTAACATTAACTTTATTTGTATTTTCTGATTTTACACTAGCAGGGAGACTGCCTGTCAGTACAGACAGTCCCCCTGCAGGCAGCACTATGGACACCCATTGTGACCATGTGATCGCTGTGTTAAGCGATCACATGGCCCCAGGGGTCCTAAATCAGTGTGGGGAGACTGTCTGGGCTGCAGGCAGTCTCCCCACACCGGGAGCAACACTGATCGCCGCCGGGGGAACCACGGCGATCAGGTAAGTAACGGAAACCGTTAGGACGGTTCAGGACCGTCATCGGTCCGCAATGGGAAAATCCCGATGACGGTCCTGAACCGTCCTCGGTCGGGAAGGGGTTAAATGGTGTTCCCATTCTCAAATTGTTCTATCATTGATATTTGCATAAAAGGTCACTATTTAAGTCCAGCACAATGTTTTTGTTTTTTTATCATGAATAAATTATGAAAATGTTTCTAGAATTATGCATGCAATTTACCTTTATATCATCCCAGATATGATTTTATAGGCTCTCTCTCCATATATCCATTTACTGTACCTATGTTATATTATTTACTTTGTTTCTTAAAATCAGCAAAAAAAACTAAGCTTATTCATTTTAAATGCATGCGGTGACCCCACTAACTCAAATGCAAAAACATAAAATATAATTTAAACCCAACGGGAAAACAAGATGAGCACTGCCTCTATGTAAGCTAGACACAAAGCTTGTCAAAGAAAGGCTATCATACAGAAAGTACACAGGTATCTTTAACCTGCCTACACAAAGTCTGCTTGGTCTTACTTGTAGCTGTATATTCACCACAATTATACTTAGAGTCATATAATGAGGACAATCTATGCATGAAATATGAACATAAAACCCACAGTCATGATCAGATAGGGGAAACAAAGATCGTAAATGGAAATGGCCTACTACCGTAGCTCGAGGGCTTGGAATCAGTTAGAAGATACAATGTCTCTGTAGTTTTCAAATCCATTTTGTGATGATAAGCTTTTGCAAAACGCATTTGTTTTATATATGTACCACTGAAGGGGCAGTTACTACAGTAACAGAAAGAAAAACCGCACCGTTCTTTATTGCACTGATTTTGATTAGTTGTGTGGTTTTCCATGAGTCCTACATATAAGAAACAGATGAAACAATTTCAAAATAACAATTGGAAGCCATTATAAATACATAAAACATTTGAAACCCATTATTCGCACAGGCATTTGTTATGTGAAGAGTTGGTGAATTTTGTTATTTTTTTATTTTAAAATATAAAAAATTGTGATCAGGGTTGGTTTGGCCCACTTTGGGAACATCAAATAAACAATGTATGCAAACATCTCCAACACAACAGCCAGCTCCTTCTTGTGAATGGAAACAACATCTTCGCTTCATCATCTTATTATTAGGCCTTTGTTGGGCATGTTGTAGGATTTTCCAGCAAATCAGAGCATATACAACAGCCAGTTCATGGGGTTATTTACATCATGAAGGGGCAACTCCCACTGATATTGGCAGATACCACAGGTGAAATTCTATTCCTGGCATCAGGAAATGTCTGATCTCACAAACCTACATCCTACATTTGGCATACATATAATGCAATAGGTAGAAAATAAAAAACACAGAAAAAAGGGCGGCGCCACAAACCAAACAACAATACTCAGACAATCTTCAAAGATAAGACAAAGATAAAATATGAAAAGTATATAGTTCAAAAAGTTCTCAGAGTTCACAGAGTTATGACCAGCTCTAGCTTAAATGGCATACAGTGGTACAATCCCCATTTGCAGCATATAATGGAAAACAGCCTCAGCAATGGGAGTGTCCGGGAACCCAGGAAAAGGTAGAAAGGCAAACAATAGTGCCTACATCATATCCTACAAGTGGGGATTGTACCACTGTATGCCATTTAAGCTAGAGCTGACTATAGCTCTGTGAAATGTGAGTGTGATATCGCTATTTCTTACACTTCTATCCACTAGATTTGACATATTGCACTAATGGTTTTCCCTGCTGTTCTCGTTTCTCTTTTATATAGATATCCAAGCTATCTGAAAAGGTTATATCCCCCCAAGTCCCAAGTTACTTCACGTCTCATCCAACATTTACATGTGCACTTTTCTCTCGTAGTAGAGGCTTCTTGATGTGAGAACCTTTTTGGACTATATACTTTTCGTATTTTATTACTGTTTTATATTTTATCTTTGAAGATTGTCTGAATATTGCTTTTTTCAGTTTTTTTTTTAATTCTACGTCTTCTTAAAGGGTTGAGAGGGATTCCATTTTAGGGTTGCTGCCTTCTTTTTACTTATTTATTTTTATTGGTTATTTAGCACTTACCTACTTGTGTGTATTTTATATAATGGAATAGGGACTGATTTAATGTCATTAAAGGATTACTCCAACCTCCATGTCAACGTTTGCATTTAGAAGTGGTAATTGAGCAAGGATTTTGTATGTGGAACTTTTCAGGTTAAAACAGTGCACATACAGAGAGATTTTCCCTTTTGTGCTGGGCTCTGGTTACACAAACACATATGACTAATGCAAATAGAACCTTTTTATAATGTGCCTTGATCAAATTTCCTCCTGTGCTCCCTCCCTTCGTGAATGCCAGCCCTGTATTCCTATACCCTTAAAATGCCTTCCTACCTAATTCTGACTCCCTATATTACATTAGCTGTGTCCCATCTACTTCCCTTGTCCATCTTCCCACAGCTGCTCATGCACCCTCTTTTCCTCTCTGCTACTCCATTTTATTAGACCACTTACTAAAAGGGATGACTCACATTGACGACAAGAAAGGCATGGAATCGATTGGGGTGACCTTGGCTTGATACTGGATTCAAGGTAGGTTTTCACCTATTTTACTACATTTTAATAACAGAAAGGGGAGGGGAAACTAAGTCTGAAGTGCAGGAGTTCCTGCATTTTTTGTATTGTAGTGCAACTTAAAAAAGAACAATAGAATTAAAAAAAACAATAAATGAAAGTATGTTCTAAGATGGATGTTACATCCCCATGGATGCTACACTGCACAGTTCTGAGTCCACTTTACAGTACAGGATTTAAAAACTTCATCTGCCCATAGAAATAACACACAGATCATTTTATATATATATATATGTGGTCTGTCCGGAAAAAGTCCAGCCATTGTTAATATACCGGTTTGTGCAACATTAATGTAACGTGCAACCCAGGAGAGTACACTGGAATGCGCATGCATGAACAATGGTGACATCACTGTACTAGTCAGTGGGGGTGCTAGGCGCCATTCAGTGAGCATGTGTACTCTGTGGCCGTCACATTCAAAATGACTGAGCGAGTAGAGCACCGAATCTGCATCAAACTTTGCAATAAGCTTGAAAATTCCTCTGGGAAACTATTCAAATAATTCAGAAGGCTTTCGGGGATGATGCAAAGAGTGCAGCTTAAATACAAGTGTGGCACAAATGCTTCAAACATGGTCAAGAATCTGTTGAAAGACTTTGCACCCTGCAACTTCTGGCTTTTTTGAAAATTCACATTTGAAAGGAAATACATTTCAAACCGTTGATGAGATTCAGGTAAATATGATGAGGCAGCTGATGGATATTCCAACAAAGGATTTATCAGATTGTTTTGAACAGAGGGACACTGGAAGAACTGTGTGAGGTCCCAAGGTGCCTACTTTGAAGGGGACTGAGGCATCATTGCCCTTTGTACAATGTTTTTTGTATCTTATTCAATAAATGTCTCTCAGTTTTATATTACATTGCTGAATACATTAAATATATATGCTTACACTTCCGGGTGGTAATGGATTGCGGGACCACACTGCACTGATTGGTAAGCTTTATTTTCAAATTTCAGATATAACTACATGGTATTCATACTTTCTGTGATCTTGAAAAAGACCCGATAGGGTCAAAACGTCGATTGCACTTTCCTGAATGTAATCTCTTCACATTAAATCACATCATTCCATTTAACCCCTTAAGGACACATGACATGTGTGACATGTCATGATTCCCTTTTATTCCAGAAGTTTGGTCCTTAAGGGGTTAAAGACCTGTGAGTGCATCCTGAATTATTATTATTGCATATTGGAAGCGGTTAGCACCCGGGCTGCTATATTGATAATACCTCTAAGGAGATTGCCAAGCTTTCACTATTTGTGTATATGTGTGTGTGTGTGTGTGTGTGTATGTGTGTGTATATATATATATATATATATATATATATATATATATAAAACCAGGGGGCTGCACTCACCTGAGCATGCTTAAATCGGGTGCTGCTGGGGGCCAGTTTATACAATACACAAGATCCAGCGCACTCACCTATCCACATCAATGTACCCCATCCTTGGCAGGTCCTACTCTAACAGCCTAATGTCTGCTTTTATGAGATTAACTCACTTACCTGGGGGAAAAAATTCCATCTGGGGCTCTCTGCAGTACAAAGCATAAATGGCAGGCTTATGCAATGTATGATCATATAATGTAACTAAACCCCCATTATTTTTGCCTAGATTAGGTGTTTTAAAAAGAAAAATCTGTCAACATTGAAGTCGCTGTTTAGAGGATAGATGAGTGCAAGGATCTTGTGTGTTGTGTGTGTATGGAAACTCAGGCACCCACTCCCCCCCCCCCTCAGATCTAAATTTGCCCACACCTTCCTGTTTAGGACCAAAATGCACTGTGACTGACAGACAGGGCCAGACTGGCCCACCGGGACACCGGGACACCGGGAAATTTCCCGGTGGGCCGCGGCACCTGGGGCCATGTAGCTTCCCTCCGAGTATGAGGGAGATAGAGGCAGAGTGGGAGCTGCTGCATCGAGGGTGCGCACACTCAGAGGGGCTGTCCGCGGCCGCAGCAAGGGCAAGGATGGTGGCAGCCTGGCAGGTCTCGGCAGTAATGACAGCAGTGCAGGACATCCCAAGAGGACTGAGGGAGAACAGCAATGTGGTGTTCTCCCGCTCTATCATGCTCCCTCATAGTTCCCACAATTCCCAGCGCAGCCACATCATAGAGTAGTGGTTACTCTATGATGTGGCTGCGCTGGGAATTGTGGGAACTATGAGGGAGCATGATAGAGAGGGAGAACATCACCTTGCTTTTAGTGCTGTTCTCCCAGGGCCACAACTCCTCCAGGCCACAGGAGCCTCAGATCAGGGCCATCAAGCAGAGGCAGCACCAGCATCAAAGCCCAGTGTCCACACAGTGGCCAAATGTTCAAATGGCCACCAAAGTGACCACGGAGGCTGTCACCACTCACATGAGGCCCTCAGCTCAGTCTCATGCCTAAGAGAGACCAGAGGTAGAGGTTTGCAGGTGCAGCAGGCAAGGAAGAAGAAAAAAAGAAGCACTAGAGGTGGGACAGGAGGAAGCACAGTCAGAAAATAGGCAACAGTGAGAAACATGGTTTTTATTATTTTTCATCACACAAAATAGGCACAATCAAACATACACAGACACATTTGCATACTTTAGACACTTACACAAGTACACTCAGGACAGAAGAATTTAGGGCCCCAATTTATTTGTCATATATCTGTTGTATTTTACAATTATTTTTGCTATTCTGCTATATGGCAGTACCCTAAAAACATATTTTGCCTAGATTAACCTCTTAACCACCACGTGACAGTCTATGCCATGGGCCCTTAAACTCCAGACCCCCAGATGTTGCTGAACTACAACTCCCATGATTCTCTGGCTATCTATGTAATTCAAAGAATCATGGGAGTTGTAGTTCAGCAACATCTGGGGGGGCCAGAGTTTGAGGACCCGTGGGCCATCATACAATACAGGTCTTTAACGCTCCATAACGGCATAGACCATAATGCAGATGAAATCCTTGATGGTACCAGGAAATCCCAGGTGTCTTTAAATATCTGAGAATGTCCTGGATCAGCTGGGTTCACAGTTAGTGGCCACAGACCGACAGATGAGATATGTACAGTACTTAAACTGAGCGCTGCACATAGCCCTTTAAAGCCTTTGAAATACCATGGCTGAGAAATTTCTCTCATCTGCTGTATTTTTGACTATGCCTACTGTCTGCAGCATTAAGAAAAATGTACTGGGTTCCCTCTGTCAGTTGCAGCCACAATTAGTCATGCACAAAGTGACTGCGTCACATAGCCCTTTAAATTTATTTAAATATCACGGAAGAGCAATCACGCTCAGCCACAGTAATTTTAAACATGTCATTGAAAAGATCCAAGTGAGGTCTCCCTGCTTGCCCCATGCTCCTGGATCACTGCTGGACTTTTCCAGAGGAGAGGGGAGAGAAAGCTTTAAATATATACATTTTGTTAGCATTTCTGCTAACACAATGTACAGACAGAAGTTGTAACTGATGTAATTCTGACAGTAATACATATGTATATATATTTGTGTACGGGATTATGAAAGGGGCGTATACTTAAAGTGAGTGTAGTTTTGATAAGCAAGAGTCAGTTGAGGTGTGCCGAAACCGACAAGAGGTTAGGCCTGTAAAAAAGAGGGCCCACCTGAATAGATTGATATGAAAGGAGGGTGTGGTGGGAGGGGAATTGCCGGAATCGATGAAGACAGGTAAGCAAGGGGTTTACTGGGTTATATAGGCCTTAAATCCCTCCCACAACTTCAGGCATACACCTTCTATTTGTGTACGGGATTATGAAAGGGGCGTATACTTAAAGTGAGTGTAGTTTTGATAAGCAAGAGTCGGTTGAGGTGTGCCGAAACCGACGAGAGGTTAGGCCTGTAAAAAAGAGGACCAAAAAGTATGTAAACATGTTTATTTATTACCACAATAACAAAATTATGTAGACATATTATAGAAGGCGAGTCTAATTTCTTTCTCTGGGTTTGGAATGTACCTGTTGAATGCAGAAGATTTCCAGCAACCCATTTTCTTTATGATATGTGTTGGAACCTGACTACTTGAGGCTGCAGTGGCCGCCCCAATACGGAATGAGTGTCCTGAAAAGGAATTCGGATTGAGGCCGGGTCTGAGTAATAAAGAACGTATGTATAGCATGAATTGTTTAGTAGAAAGTGGCTTTCCTTGTAGGGATAACAGAGGCAGTTCGGGATTTCTAATATGCTGATTTTTTTAACAAGTTATCCAGTACTTGAACAGGGCACCATTTGGAACCGATAAGGAAATACTTAATCTCAACTGGGAGGCCTGCTTGGTTTGTTTTTGTGCGGGTGAATGTGTGGTTAAGTTTTTTTTGTTTAAGGCAAATGTCAATATCAGATATTTTCTCTTCTAAAAATTCTTTGGGTCTTAGAAACCAGAAAAAGGCCAAATAAGCTGCTGATTTAATTACCAGGTTAGTGGGATGCTCAAAAGGACTTTAATCTAATAACTTGGAAATATCTTTAAAGATGTTTCTGTCTATGGGCAGTCTTTTGAGGGATTTGGGGATTTTTAGTCTCTGGATACCTTTTAGTATGTTTTTTATGGGGTATGTGGATAAGAAAGGAGTCTTGTTTGGATAAAGAGTTAGCATGAAATGTTGTATCCCCGACAAGTATAGTTTGATGGTATTGTAGGCTAGTTTTAAAGAGAAGTGACAAAAAGTTGTAAACGCAACCATGGTTTCTACAGAAAAATTATTTATTATGTTAAAGTCACGAACAAATGTTTTGTACATGTCAAATGCCCTATCGTATGCTTTGTTGGTCTTTACTGACAACCCTGCCTGTGCGAGGATTCTACTGTGAGCTAATAACTGGTTTAATGCATGATTAGGTCTTTGAATTGAGGAGGAGTTTTGGGTTGCTTGTTCGCTGTAGGTTGCAGTCTGAAAAATTCCTGTAAATTAAAAAACGTGACAAAGCGTCAGCTGCGTTATTGAAAATGCCTGGAACATGAATACAACAAATGTAAAACTGCAAGTTTGCTGCCAACCATGTAAGTTTCCTAACTAGATTCATAATTGACAGGGACTGACAGTGGCCCCTGTTAATTATGTTACATGTTGTCAGAAAAACACCTAACTGCTTTACCCCTCCAATTTTTTCCCCAAATGTGTGTGTAGCAGAGAGCTGGTATTCCACAGCCTATCTCCACTTTTAGATCCCAGGGAGACTCAGGAACAAGCAATTATAAATCCATAGGGTAAAGTATCCAGCAGGCAAAATAACAGCGATATCCCAACAGCAATTCCCAATAACTGGACGACACACAGTTTCAGGAGCATAACTAACCCTTTATTCAGACAGTGGCCTTTTAAAGCCTGCTCCCATGCAAGGGAGGGATTTTCATTCATTAGTACAGTAGCCAATCCTGCTCTGGTAACCTCCCACACCTCTCCTCCCCTCAGCCTGCATCATAATCCCCTTATCCAGGACATCAATTCCCCCTGTTTCTGGATGTACCCCTAAACTTAGGGGTACCACTTTAAATCATACATCCCCACAACAGGGGTTCGGGAAATTTATGGAGGGAATAAAATGACCGACCGCACTGGGTGAAACAGCCGAATGCCGTTCCATGTGAATGGGCCCTGCGGTCGGTCCTGGAGTCAGGGAATAAATGGCACGAAAACCTCTAGCTACAGAGGCTAGAGAGGGTTCTCCTGAATCCCCTCGTTCGGTTCTTCCTATCTACCGAACGAGAGGCAGTTCGGTAGTTAGGAACCAAACGGACCGGGCTTGTGGAGGTTTCAGCGGTGTTCGCCTAGTCAAGTGTCCGATTTGAGTTCCAGACACTCGACGGCAAAACACTGTTCGGGAGTTTTAAAATGGCCGCCGCCACGTGTTCGTTTTTCGAATGGCAGCCACCCCCGAGAACAAAGGACGGCTACTTAACTTGTCAATTACCCGTTCGCAACAATGTTGCAACGGGTAATTGAGAACACACTTCACACAGGGGAGGTCTGACTGTTCGGTAGTTTCATTCGAACAAACTAAGGGAATGAAACTACCTAACATTCAGACGAATACAATACATTACATACATAGAACTTGCTGTTTTTACACGAACACATTAAAATACATGAAATTCTCAGGACAGCCCAGGGCCATCCGCTACAGTGTGCTGCTGCCATTATTGGGAAGATTGAATAAAGCTGAGGTTTTGTCAAAACTTTCTAGGGTAGCTGTTTCGAGTGACCAGCTGTCAGAGACCCACTCGTCCCCGAATAGCGCAGCGTACCCGATGGTAGCTGCAGCATCTGTCCAGATAACCGGGTATTCGTCAGATATGGGGGGAATGAACAGTGATCTACCATTCCATGAGGATAAAAATAGACTTCACATTTTTAGGTCAGCCCTTGCTGGATCGTCTAGATCAGTCTTAGTGTCGTCGTCAGGGAGGCCGTGTAGAAGAGAAAGTAACTTAGAGATGAAAGCTCTGCCTTGAGGAATAATTCTCATGGTGAAGTTAAGAGAACCCAAAAGTGACTATAATTCTTTCCTGGTGCAGGACCCGTGATTGGTGCAGGTGTGGATGTGTGGATGCAGGTGTGGATGTGAGTTAGGATCCTGTCTACTTTGACTTGAGGAAGGTTAGCTTGCATAGTTATTGAATTGAGTGTGATACCTAGGAAAGTTATTTCTGTACTGGGACCTTCTGTCTTATTTGGTGCTCCCGGGACTCCTAATTCTTTAAATAGGGAGAGTGCATTTTCCAGACTGCGTGATGTGTAGTGGTGAGGTTCAACATAAAGAAAATCATCAAGGTAGTGGATTACTACTGGGCACCTGGATTTGTTGAGCAGTAGCCAATTCAAGGTTTCTGCGAATGTCGATAATTTTGGGGCTCCTTTTGGAGCCGAAGGTCAGCCTAGTCGCAAAATAGTATTTCTCTTCCCACTTAACACCATGTAGATGCCAGAGTGACTGCTTAATTGGTAGAAGTTTGAAAGCATTTGAGATATCCGTTTTGCTTAACCAGGCTGCCTTACCAAAATTGACAACTGCTTGTATGGCATTGTCTATTTTTGCATATTGTAGTGAGAAGTCTTCTGAAGGTTATAAGGGAATTCAAACTTGGGGAGGTAGAAGAGTGAGGTCCTGTGAAATTGATTATTAACCTCTTTTTGTTATTAAATTTGCCTGTGGCTATACCTAGAGGGCTTGTTCTCC